GTTATAGTTCATATCAAGGGCCAATTTGGTATACCTCTATTTCGTTGTAATATCTAGTATATCTTCACATCTTAATACTATAATGAAATACAATAGGATACATGTTTCGAGAAAGAAAGGTTGGTCCGATTATTAACAAAAGTAAACAAAAGTCCATCAGGGACTCCACGGAGTCGAAAAAGGTACCCGGCTGCTGTCTGGTGCTGCTAGGCATTTATTGATCAAGATGTTTTATTGTATTGGTTTTTGATGATTCTATTGTTCGTGACTTATCAAGTTCTAAGTGGGGGTATAAAGTGCTGCTTAAGATACTTCGTCATCTCATGTCCAGTATAATGAATAAGATAATAATAATAATAATAAAATTTGGTAGCTTAAACACAAACTCTAAGCCCAGTGGATAAACCACAAAACTTATGCTCTATTGTGTGAAACAAAGATACTAGATCAAGATAACTATTAACTATCAAGGAGTGTATGCATAGGACATAAACAGTTTTGGAACGAAGGTGACATGCTTATGAAGCGAGCTAACAGTCTAAATGCTAATAAGTTCAAAAAGATCATGACATTAGGTTGCATCCTAAACAGTTTAAGCAAATAAAATAAAGTTATATTGTCAATTAATCGCTCAAGCCATAACTTTTCTTAAACAGGTAAGTTTTTAATAATGTTTTGAACAGATCAACATCAGAACAAGTCTTAATTTCAATTGGTAGTTGGTTCCAGATTTTCGGAGCAACAGTCTGAAACGCTCTTGGGTGCGATCTTGCAGATCCGACAGGTAGGTGTAAGGAGGAAGTTCTTCTGCTACTCGAACTAACAAATGTTACTAGATCACACAGATATGCAGGAGCAACACCATTGACTGCTTTGAAAATCAGTAAACATAACTTAAACTCAATCCTTTCCTTCACCTTGAGCCAATGAAGGGATTTGAGCTTCTCCTCGACTGAGTCTCTCTTCTTTAATCCAAAAACCAGACGGCATGCTCGGTTCTGAATGTTCTGCAGCTGCGCAATTGAGGCTTGACTACAACCATAGTAAAGCGCATTGCAGTAGTCAAGCGATGAGATTACAATTGCTTGAGTCAGTGTTCCCATCTGTTTGGTTGTGAGGAATGTTTTCATCTTAGCAAGGTCTCTTAGTTTCAGAAAACACGATGTTTTAAGTTGCTTGATTTGCTCACCAAAGTTTAGTTGAGAGTCGAGACGAAATCCGAGGTTCTTTGCAACAGGTGACAGCCTGACACACGTCTCAGAGTTAACAAACACGCCCCCTATAGACAGCTGCTGGAGAACAAGCGGTGTCCCAAAAACAAGAATCTCAGTTTTTCCTGCATTGAGCTGTAGATAATGTTTTTTCATCCAGTCATTAATTTCTTGGAAACATTTGGGAACATCGTTGATAAGGACGGTGGGCTCCTCGTTTGGCTTGAAACTTTTATACAGCTGATGATCGTCGGCGTAACCCTGGATGGAGAAGTTCAAATCATGTGCTGCTGAGTACAAAGAGCGAATGTAGATGTTGAACAGGACCGGACCCAGCACAGAGCCCTGTGGGACTCCAAACTTAATCACTATCTCATAAGATTCCTCATTTCCAACTTTAATCGTTTGACATCTACCTGTGAGGAAGCTGCTGAACCATTTCCAAGCTGTCCCTGTTATTCCCAACTCATTTCTGAGGATGTTCAGTAGTTTGCAGTGGTCAACTGTATCAAAAGCTGCACTGAGATCTAGGAGAAGAACAACAGTTGCCTTGCTTTCTGTAGATGCAATGAGCAGATCGTTAACAACTCTCACAAGCAGAGTCTCGGTGCTGTGTTTTGATTTGTATCCAGACTGCTGTGGGATGTTCAGGTTGTTGTTTTCTAGATGTTCATTTAGACGCCTGAGCACTACTCTTTCTATCAACTTGCCTACAAAACTGAGGTTAGATATTGGTCTGTAATTCTTGAGATTATCACTATCTAATCCCTGGCCCTTGATCAGGGGTGTGATATGAGCTAGTTTAGCGCCATCAATACTACCAGAAGATAATGAAGCATTTACTATGTCAACTAAGACAGGTAGTAGAACCTCAAGGTTTTCTTTAAAGATGTTTGCAGGTAGAGGGTCGATTGAAGAAGACTTGATCTCAGATGCCTTGATTATCTCTTCTAGTTCTTCTATAGTAGTTGGAGAGAACTCAGCTAGTTTTTCTCCGCAGTAAGAGGGCGTTTGATCGTCAGACTCCACATGATCAAAGTTATTACGTATTGCCTTTATTTTCTCCTGGAAATATACGTTAAAGTTTTCGACTGTGTCCTTGAGAGACTCCGACGAAGGCAACACAATGCTTTTATCCCGATCAAGAAAGGTGTCCACAAATCTAAAAAGACTCTTAGAAGAATAGGAATGCTTTATGAATTCGACTTTGAAAAACTCATGTTTCTTCCTGTCTGAGAGTTCTGTGCACTGCTCTCTGATTGATTCATAGTGTGTCTTGTCAGTTAAAGATCCGGAGATTTTCCACTTTGTCTCGGCTTTTCTTCTTTGGCTTCTAAGTGCTTTATATTCACCATCGAACCAAGGGGCAGACTTACGTTCTTTGATTTCCTTTGTGAGGAGAGGAGCATGGTTATTCAGCACAGTTAGGCACTTAGAGTTGTATAGGCTGATGCGGCTTTCAAATGACGGCATTTCAGCTTGTGATAGACCCTCAGGATCCATTACAGTAACCAATTCCTCAGCAAGATTATCCGCAAAACAATTTTTGTCAATTTCTTTGACATTTCTGAATGTGATAACTTTTTTCTTGTTGAGATTGCTTGCAACTGTTTTTGTGAGGCTAAAAGTAACCGGGAAATGGTCACAGTTTGGGAACATTTCCGAGGTGTGCGAGTCTACTGTGACACTCTTTGGATTGACTATCTGATGGGAGGAGATTACAACATCCAGAATATGTCCTTTGTTGTGAGTTGGATCTCTCACGTATTGATGCAGTCCATAGCTGGCCAATACTTCAGTCAGTTTGGCCGTGTTTCTTGATTTATGTTCATCCAAATGAATATTAAGATCACCACAGATTAAAAACTTCTTGTATTTCATGAATATGTTCCCAATAAACTCATCCAAATCTTCAAAAAATACATCAGTCAATGACCCTGGTCGGTAAACACAAGCACAGAGGACAGTATCACCCGATGAGTCCCGAAATTTGCCTAAAACTGCTTCAAACGTATCTCCACACTTATCAAACACAGGAGTAATGTTCAAATCACTTGAATTGTAAATAATTCCAACTCCTCCGCCTCTGCATTTAGCGGAGTCTTTCCTGATGTAGTGAATCAAGTTATAGCCGTAAGACTTGATGGTAGCAGTAACATCATTCTTCATGCTGGTGAGCCAAGTCTCAGTGACAAAAAGGACAGAGATTCTTTGGTCGATTATAGATTCCATGATTGGTTGAATCTTATTATTGAGAGATCTCACATTCCAGCAACAGCCAAGAATCTCTGTCGGAGAGGATTTCAGACCACTGCTTACAAGTTTTTTGAACTGTAGTAATTGATAGTTTTGCGGAGATGCTGCTGTTCAGCAACATAAGCTGGACATGTCCTATCAAATGCTGTGTGTGTGTTTCTTTCATCCCGATACTTGCCCTTAGAGCAGTTAATGCAGCATGGGATAGGACTATTAGTTTTCTTTTCTGGACAATCTTCTGACGTATGATTCTTGGAACAATAACCACAAATAGCTTTTTCTGATTCACACTCTGACCTGTAGTGTCCAAAACCTTGGCATTTGTTGCATCGTTTTACATGAAATTGATCATAAACTTTGCAACTAAACGAACTGATGTATAGCCGATCTCCCTGTTGTTCTATGATTTTCCTAATATTGTTACTAACTCGTATAGTAGCTTGATGCTTGCTGCTGTTTTTGATCTGAGGTTTAACTTTTAGTACGGAAAATGTTTCACCCTGGGATTTTAATGCCTTAATGTTGGGGTGAGCTTGAAGGAGCAGGTCTTCTAGATCTTCTTCAGAATAATTATCAGCAAGGTTAGCAACAGAGATTGTGGGCAAACGTTCTGGTGGCTGGTGCGTTTTTATTTCTGGAAGTTGCTGGGATACCTTCTTGACAAGATTTTCCCTGTCAGCCGTTGTCGGACACACAACCACAATTTCCCCTTTCTTGTTGACATACCGTTTGTCAGCATGAATGGCGTTGTCTTTGATGATTTTGTCAACATCTTTGCGATCTTGATCTTGATTTTCTGGTGTTTTGCTGGACATGATTAATACAGAGCGATATGAAGGGGCAACTGGTGCTGGAGATGAAGGAGAAGAAATGTCAGTTATGTCCGGAGATGTTTTCATATTCACAACTTTCATAAGTAAACCCTTCATGTCCTCCATAGATTGGGTCAGATTATCTACTCGCCTGTCAATCAGGTCGACTTTACTTTCGGCACTGACTGCGGAGTTCTGTTCAGAGTGTGTCTTGCAGACATTACACACAAACGTAAAAGTCCCAAATCTGGAACTGTTAACACCCTTGGTTGCGTTTCTGTCGGAATATGCTTTGAAGAAAGTGCGAGGACAGATTACATCAGTATTAATCCTATCTTTATCAGCATCTCGACAAACAGCATGAAATGACGATTTACACAAAAAGCAGGTAAGAGCAGTGTCATTGGCTTGAGCATCATTACAGGTGTTACAAGTGCCGTCTTTGATGTAGGCAAACTGGTATTGAAGAGTGTTACCTTGTCGCTGTTGAGTACTTTCAGAGGATGTGGATGAGTTCAGGAAAGGTGTGAAACGTTGCGGGGATAACATATCTTCGCTAACATTCCCGTCATTCTTTGGCGTAACATCCTGTAACGAGATTGAGGACCTGTTACCCTCATCATCAACACCACCTTCTCCGATCATTGCGCACTTCTTTTACAAAGTGAAACAGTGCAAATCAGCAGAGTCAGTAGAGAATCAAAATTGAGTTCGGGGTCCTCAATAAATGTAATAGATTTGTAGTGTTGTAATTAGTTTTAAAAAAAAAAGATAGTAAACAATATAGTTTCAGTAGTTGACCCATTCAGTTAAGTCCGTCATAACTCACAATTGTTTAGTCATCTGTCAATTGTCAAAGTCGTTGTGTGTTTAGTCGCTGAGTTAGCAGTAAGATAAGTTGTTACGCGCGCGCGTTTAATCCCGTCGACGTGAGATGTGACAATGACAAATGAAAACGCTACAGAATTATTGTTTTCGCGCGTTACATAGAATTTACTAGTGTGTAATACTGGTTAACACTGGGTGTACACTGAGTGTAAGTCGCTAAGTTTCATATACAAGCCGAATATTTCTAATTTTGAGTGTATCGTGAGCATGTTTTACAGTGCAATTCTTCGGTACTAGTGTGTTTGTGTGTATATATAAATATATCATCTGTGGAGTATGGTGTGTGGACTGTGGTAAATAATGTGTTTAGTTGGAGTGCAGTGGTTGCATGTATGAGGAAAGATAAGTGGTTATTTTAGTAACTCACATTAATCAAAACTTGAGCTTATTCGTGGCAAAATTAAGCTCACACCAATCAAGTGTATCATGCTTGAATTGCAATTCTTGTAAAGCAATTTTCAATGTATTCTTAAACCCGTTTGTCGGAGTATTAAAACTTATCTTACTTGATGTTTGTCGACAGCTGTTCCACATGTAGGATGATTGGTAGATGAATTGTGAGGATGGTTGTGATGTGATGAAATAATCCTCTCGTCGTGGTGACCTGTTAAATGATGAGTACAGTGATAATGGTTCCTCTAACTTATTAATTTTGAATAGTTCTAAGAGACAAGTGTACTTATACAGGTTGTGAACAGTTAACAATTTCTGATTCTTAAACAAGGGCTTAGAGTGTTCTTTTTTGTAAAAGTCCACACCTAGTCTTTGCTCACCAAATGGTCGTGTCCGGGCACAAGTTCTAAATTTTTCTAAGTAAGCTTCTTTATCCCCAAATAGAATTCTTATACACTTTTTCTGTGTTTTAAAGAGAGGTTCGAGTCGGTTGTCCCAAATGTGATTCGAATAAAGTATGGTATAAATCCTTATAATACTGTTTAGGGACAATGTGTCGTATTCTGCATAACTTACCTACTTCACATTTAAGTTTTGAGTTAAGTGACCGTGTGTGAGTTTTCCAATTAAGTTGATCATCGATAATGACACCTAGAAATTTAGCTTCTTGGACTTTTTTAATGACAACATTGTTCAAAGTTAATATGTTCTCGTCATTTTCTACTTCCTCTTTGGCACGTGACGGTCTAAAGTGGATAAAACAGCATTTCTTAATGTTAATATGTAATAAGTTTAGTTTCATATACTTATAAACAGATGCTAAAACTTCATTTCCCTTTTCGTACAGTCCTCTGACACATGTTTCTTCAATAAATATGTTAGTGTCATCGGCAAATAGTATAAACGTTCCTATAATTGATGAGTTTCGGATGTCATTTATGTAGATGATAAACAGCAGGGGACCTAAACAGGACCCTTGGGGCACTCCGTAGACAACGGGCAGTTTCTCAGAGTCTTCACCTAATACTGAGACATACTGGTATCTATTCGACAGGTAACTTGCTATAAGGTTGTTTGCATTTCCACGGATCCCATAATTTTCTAACTTATGCAGTAACTTTTCATGTGAGATTGTATCAAAAGCTTTGCTAAGATCAATAAATATTCCAAGTACGTGTTGTTTTTTCTTGAGACGTGATTCTATGTGGTTAACTGAGTAATTTAAAGCATAACTAGTCGAATGATTTTTACGGAATCCGTACTGGTTTTCATACAAGGAATTCTGTGAATGAAAGAAGCTATATAATCTGTTGAATATAATTTTTTCAAATATTTTACCAAATACTGCAAGTGTCGACACAGGTCTATAATTTTCAAGGAGTTCCTGGTTATCTTTCTTGTAAATTGGACTAATCCTTCCAATCTTAAGGTCATCAGGGAATATGCCATCTTTCATACATTCATTGTACAGTACAGTAAGTAGAGGAGTGACTATTTTTGAGGACTGTTTTACAACATGAATAGGAATATCACTTGCCTTACCGTTCTTAAGTTCAGATATGATTTTGCTAACCTCGTCTGTTGTGCAGTCATGCATGTAAATGCTGGAGGTGTTTGAGAGCGGTAAATAGTCATAGAAACTAGGTAGATTGTTTATGTTCATTTGACCAAGTTCATTGTAAGCAGTATTTAGGTCAGAGGCCAATGATACGAAATACTTATTGAATTCGTTTGCTATGATCCTCCTGTTCGTTATCTTAACGTTGTCTATGGTGAACAGCGGCTTTATTTCACGCCGCCGTTTTCCTCTTATACTATTAATTAGTTCCCAGGTCTTTTTACTATTCCCGCTATTTTCTGCAAATTTACCAGAGAAGTAATCTGTTTTCACTGTTTGACGTGTTTTCTTTAGGACTTTTCTGTATTCTTTGTAGATAAGGTAGCGACTACGTTTTAGTGAGCATTCAGGGCACTGGCAAATCCCGCCCTTGTTATCAGTTTCCCCGAGTTTACATTTTCTATTTCTTATCTCAACCCAATTTTCGTACAGTTTATGCTGATCATTAATTGAGCAAATGAGACCGGGAGTAACTAATATAGAAGAAAAAACAGGAAGTTGTCGTCTGTTGTAAAATAAATAAAATATCTAGAATATAAATTAGAATATAAAATAACATTCAGTCAATGTGTCGTCAATAAACTGTACAATTATCAAATGTTAAAACTGGGTGATACAGTCACCAAAAAAAAATACTAAGTATGATAAGTTAATAAATTAAATGTGGTCTATAAAACTACCACTAAGTATAATAGGTCAATAAATTAAAAGTGGTTTATAAAACTACCACTGTGGGAACCCCTTCTCCAGTTAAAACATGTCAGTCATGTGCAAAATCAATCAGAATGGTAAGGTGGTAAAAAAGGGAATATCTTTTCGATACATCAATTATATATGCCTCAGATTTAAAAGAATTAGAAGTTACTTAGTTATCGGCGACTATGATTGCAGTGTAAAATTTGTCATATGAATTGTCGACGGTATAATTAGGGTCTGTTGTTATAGATGATAGTAGCTGTTTCTTATACGAATCACTAAAGCTTTTAACATCGGGCAGATTTCGTAGATCTGTTGGAACATTATTCCAACATTTTGCCCCCAAGTATTGAAAGTTTTTATGTGATGTTGATCTATTGACATAAAGGTTGCAGCTTTCGCCGCTCCTACTACCTCCTGATATGTAACTAAATTTGTTCATAAAGTTTGTAGGACAATTGTCATGGATGATTCTAAACATATAATTTGACAGATGGAGTTGTCGTCTAAGATGGAGTGGTAACCATTTCATGTCTCTATAGACATTAAGGCTGCTCTCTGTTTTTGGAACGTTGAGAGCTATTTTGGCTACCTTTTTGTACAGAGTGTCAAGTTCAGCAAGTTTTGTCTTGCCAGCTCTACAATAGATCGTGTCTAAATAATCGAATTGTGGCAACATGAGTGCATTGGCAAACATTTTCCTATATTTAATGGGTAGCAGTGCTTTACTTCTATACATGGCACCAATTCTCTTCATGACCTTCCTAATGATATAATCTACATGGCTTTTGAAGTTTAATTTACTATCTAGAATGAGGCCAAGATATTTTGTCTCTTTGCACTCCTTGATTGTGAAAGTTACCTCATTACAATCAATGGTTATTTCATCATGTTGGTCAACAGAATCAAACAATAGGAATTCAGTCTTCTTTTCATTGAGTGATAATTTATTAACACTGAGCCATTTAAAGATTGTCATAAGTTCTATTTTCATGTTTATAAATGTGCTTCTGCAGGTTTGATCAAAGAATAGTGCACCATCATCTGCAAATAGAAAGGGCTTAGATAGGTTACAGGCATAAATGATGTCATTTATGAAGATACTAAATAATATAGGCCCAATGATGCTTCCTTGTGGTACACCACTCAGAACTTCTAAAAATGAGCTTAGATTGCCATTGATCCTAGTGCATTGATATCTACAAGATAAGAAGTTCTTAAACCAGGTTAAAGCAATGCCACCAATTCCATAATATGCCAATTTTTGAAGCAATATTTCATGATTCACTGTGTCAAAGGCCTTCTTAAGATCAAGAAAGATGATTCCTGGTTTATAAGACTTAGATTTACTCATATATATTTCGTCCATCAGATCGTACATCAGATAAGTTGTGGAGTGATTTTTCCGAAAGCCATATTGATGCCGGATGAAAAGTTTGTTCTCTTCCATGTAATCAGTGAGTTGCTTGCCGACAAAGTATTCTATAAGTTTTCCTACAAGTGGAAGGATGGATATTGGCCTGTAATTATTAGGATCATCTTTCATTCCTGCCTTATGGATGGGAGTTACTCTAGCTTTTTTACAAAGGGTTGGTACAACACCTGTATTAAGGCTCAGATTGACAAGCACTAAGCACCAAGCTTTTAAGTTCTAACTCACTATGTGACACTACTTATAACGTAAGCAAGATTTGCAACTATTACACCAAGCAATATTATATTTATACCAAGCATAGCAGACGAACACATCCACATTCGTTACGCTTTACACTCAAGTCACAGCAAACTAAAACGGTAAATTATAAATGAGTGTACAACTAAAGGCCGGTACACGCGCAGTGTCAAACCGCACGTGCGTACTCAGATAGGACTAGAGGCGCCAAGGGCCAGCTAGTAAAATGTCTTCTACTACATCATACATTCTTTTTAATTGTGTCCATATCGGGTTTCAAACAAGTCAAAACAAAATAGCAGTTTGTGGTTTAGTTAGCGAGCAAATAAAAGGGTGCGCGCGCACGTTGGTCTTAACACATAAGTGACGTCACAGCCCAAAATTGCTATCAGCCAATAGGAGCGCGGCGTGATATTGCACGAATTATCGATTTCACAGTCCGGCGTATTTTTTGATTCTACACACTTTCACAGGACTTAAAC